GACCCACTCCGATATGCCGGGTATTGACCCCTCTTTCACCACACACCGTCTCAGCATTGAGCCCTATTTTTGACCTATCCGCCAGAAACAACGCATCTTTCACTCGGAGCGCAATAACCTTATTGCTTTTGAAGTAGATAAGCTTCTTGAAGCACAGTTCATCACAAATGTGGACTACCCCAGATGGCTGTCGAATGTGGTTCTGGTTCGTAAAAATAATAGTAAGTGGCGGCTCTGTGTCGATTACTCCGACCTCAACCGAGCTTGCCCCAAACACAGTTATCCTCTCTCTCGCATAGATCTGCTGGTTGACGCCACGGCCGGTCGTCAAATACTCAGCTTCATGGATATCTTCTCTGGGTACAACCAAATTCTGATGCACCCGTCTAATCGGGAACATACCTCCTTCATCACTGACCGAGGTACCTGCCATTACTGTGTGATGCCGTTTGGGTTGAAAAATGCTGGGCCACCTACCAACGGTTAGTCAATGCTGTCTTTCATCACCAGATGGCCGAAACATGGAAGTATATGTCGACGACATGCTAGTCAAGAGCAAGCTCTCCACTGATCATCTGGCCGACCTGCGAGAGACCTTCGCCACCCTACAAAAGTACCAAATGAAGCTCAATCTGGAGAAATACGCCTTCGGCGTAGGATCTGGGAAATTTTTGGGTTTCATGGTCAGTCAGCGGGGCATTGAAGCTAACCCTGAAAAGATCAAGGCCTTGATTGAAATGCAGTCTCCCAGAACGGTTAAGGAGGTTCAGAGGCTTACTAGTCGTGTGGACGCCCTCAACCACTTCATTTTCCGCGCAACGGATAAGTGCCTCCCCTTCTTCAAAGTTCTTCAGCAAACTTTTGAGTGGACGATCGAATCCGAAAAGGCCTTTCAACAGTTGAAGCAGTGCATGGCCAACCCCCCTCTCCTTTCTCAGGCAATCACGGGCGAACCTCTCTTCCTCTATTTAGCCGTGTCAAACACCGCAGTCAGTGCAGCTCTTATCAGGGAAGATAACTCTGTCTAACGGCCAGTCTACTACATCAGTCGGGCTCTTAGAAGAGCGGAACAGAATTACCCACTGTTAGAAAAAATGTCCTTGGCTTTGGTCACCGCCTCTAGACGCCTCCGTCCTTACTTCCAAGCTCATTCCATAGTGGTCGTCACTGACCAACCATTAAAGAAGATAATGCAACAACCAAAACTTTCTAGTAGACTTATGCAGTGGTCGGTCGAACTCAGCCAGTTTGACATCTCCTACCGGCCTCGAACAACGATTAAGGGGCAGGCTGTTGCCGATTTCATACTACATCAGTCGGGCTCTTAGAGGAGCTGAACAGAATTACCCACTGTTAGAAAAAATGTCCTTGGCTTTGGTCACCGCCTCCAGACGGCTCCGTCCTTACTTCCAAGCCCATTTCATAGTGGTCGTCACTGACCAACCATTAAAGAAGATAATGCAACAACCAGAACTTTCTAGTAGACTTATGCAGTGGTTGGTTGAACCAGCCAGTTTGACATCTTCTACCAGCCTCGGACAGCGATTAAGGGGCAGGCTGTTGCCGATTTCATTATGGAATTCACTAATCCCACTCTAACCACAGCTCCTCCGCCTCCACCAATCCCTACCGAGCTAGAAGACCCCCACTCTTGGACCCTTAACGTCGACGGATTATCCCGCAAGGAAGGCAGTAGGACTGACCTCATCCTCACCGCCCCCGACAGTAGATATTTCAAGTGTGCTCTCCAATTCCTATTTGATGCAAACAATAATGAGGCTGAATATGAGGCATTGATTGCAGGTCTTCGCCTCACCAGAGACATTGATGTCAGCCATATCCAAGTGTTCAGTGATTCCCAGCTCATTGTCGGACAAATCACGGGGAATTCGATGCCAAGGAAGATTCCATGCGGGCTTATAGGGATATTGCACTCCCCCTCGCTCGCTTCTTCAATAATTTCCATATCAAGCACATCCCTCGAGCGAAAAAATCCAAGGCAGATGAAATGGCTCAGTTGGCTTCGGTAGACCAGTCAGACCTCAGCCACGGTGTTCGCCTCGAGTACCTGGCCCACCCTGCCATTTTCCCAAACCAGCAGCAAGTCTACTTCCTCCAAAATGAACCTATCCCCTGGGAGTACGACATCTTTCTATTTTTGACAACGGGGGAACTGCCAGATGACAAACAGCAGGCCGCCAAAGTCAGGGCCCGGTCATCCAATTACATTCTTGTCGATGGTCTTTTGTACAAAAAGAACTTTTCACGCCCATACATGAGATACCTTAATCCTGCTCAGGCGACCTACGTGATGAGAGAAGTCCATGAGGGTGTATGTGGCAATCATTCGGGTGGCAGGTCCCTAGCCCACAAAATATTTCGCACTGGTTATTTCTGGCCTACTCTTAATCAAGATGCGACAGACTTCGTGCTCAAATGTGATAAGTGCCAACGTTTTGCCAACATTTCCCATGCTCCTCCCATAGAATTGATCACACTCTGCAGCCCTTACGCATTCGCCAAATAGGGGATCGACTTGATTGGCCCGTTGCCCACTGGCCGAGGGCAAACCAAATTTTCCATTGTCACCATCGATTACTTCACTAAATGGGTGGAAGCAGAACCCCTTGCCACAATTACCGAGCGGAACACAACCAGATTCATCTGGCAGTCGATCGTCTGTAGATTTGACATCCCTCAAGCCATCGTCTCCGACAATGGTAAACAATTTGACAATGCCAAGTTCAGGAAATTTTGTGCTGAACTTCAAATCCAGCCATGTTTCTCCTCCCCAAGCCATCTCCAAGCCAATACACTACAACAAAAGTAACCTATAGTGACGAAAACTAGTGAAGAAAATAAAATTCGTCACTAAATGAAAATAATTCGTGAGGAATTTATAAATTTTGTCACATATAATAATAAAAAAAAAATGATAGGTGACAAAATTTATTTTTGTCAATAAATACTTTATTTTAAGTGAGGAAAAATTTAGTTTCGTCACCAAAAATTTTCCCGCTATTTTTTTTGGGTGGCGCCAAAATTTTGAGACTTTTGGTGACAAAAAAATTTGTCACTAATTATAAAATTATTTGTGATGAATATATTTTCGTCACCAAAACATTTTAATATTTCTGATATCTTTTGGTGAGAAAATAATATTGTCACCAATTTTGGTGGAAAATTTTTGATATATTGAGCAGCAATAAAAAAAAAGGGTATTAATTTTTTTTACCCCTTTTTTATTTATCATCTCTCTCTCTCTCTCTCTTTCTCTCTTTCTCTCCCTCTCTCTCAAAATAGGGTATTAATTTTTCTTACCTCTTGCTCCTCCACTACACCGATTGCCATCGTTGCCTCTATTAGTCTTGCCGATCGTCACCGCCAGTAGTAGCCTTGCCGGTAACGGTCACATCTTCTTCGCTCGATGATTTGGTACATGGTTTCTCTTTGCTCTTTTTTTGGTGTCACTTTCTCTTATTCTCTGTTTTGGTATGGTGACGAAAATTAGTGAAGAAAACAAATTTCGTCATTAAATAAGAATAATCCATGAGGAATTATAAATACTGTCATGTATAATAAAAAAAGAAAAATAATAGGTGACGAAATTTATTTCCGTCAATAAATACTTACTTATAGGTCAGAAAAAAAATAAGTTTCCTCACCAAAAATTTTGAAAGTTTTGGTGAGAATTTTTTTTTTCGACAATTAAAAAATTATTAATGAGGAATCACTACTACAAAAACAGTTAAAGATTACACTTTAACAAAATGAAAATATCTCACTTTTATTAGAAGCGTGATAAAAAAAATTAGATTGATATTTTAATCACACTTAATTTGATTGAGTGTGATAATATTTATTTTTTATGTCACTTTTTAATTAAGTGTGATTATATATATATATATATATTTTAATCTCACCTTTTAAATAAGTGTGATTATATGTAATTTTTTTAATCACAACTTCTAAATAAGTGTGATCAAAAAATTTTGAGGGCAATAATTACCACCTAATTTTATTTTATGTTTAATTTTATTTATTTATTATTTCTTTGATACATACAAAGGAAATACCAATCAACACTGTTTACCCCTCTTTTCCACTCTCTCATTGTCTTGAACCCTAACCCGTCAAACAGAGAGCGGTGAAGGTTGAGCAAAATCAGAGGGCAATGGCGAACGGAGGTTGACGGCGGACTAACGGGGTCTGCGACGACGAGAGGAGGCGGTTGTGAAATCTGGATGCCTGCGACGAGGTTTGATGAATTAGCCTCTGACCTTCTCTTTCCATCTCTCTCTCTCCCTCCCTCCTAAATCCATTGGATCCCATGTTTCTGAACCGGCGCTCCTCTTCGCGAACACCTTCTGCTTCATTCTCTGGATTTCTGAGGTACTTTCACATTTGGGGTTCTCTTAATTTGTTTGGTTTACTTTCAATCTCTTAAATTGAATGTGATGATCACTAGTCCTAGAGCAATCCGCTTATTGGTTATACACGATAATAGTTAGCTGGCAGAGGTATTGATGGTTCACCTTTATTAATTGATATGAATGAGGGTTTGAATTAAAGGTTGCTGGGTTGATGGTCCTCTGCTTCAGCATTATTGAGGCTGTTTGTAAATTTGTTTAGCATTTGATGCTAGAATTAGATATTAGCTAAATGTAGAAGCTAGAACATATTCAATTAGGAAATAAAAAGGGCTGATGATCTTGAAACCTACCACTCTAAAGCCTCTTTTTTTTTCTAAGTAAAAAAGATCTTACCGCAACTGTAACTGTAATTTGCTAAGTTTTAAAATTAATTTAATTAAAATTAGGTTGACATTTTATCAGTATTCATTAATATGCTTGTCCAGTTTAATTTCACTGATGTTAAAGGCTTTTATTTGTTTCTCTTTGCTTTCCTCATATGAATGGAAGTCTCTCTTTCTCTATTGGGAGTCAGGATAACTCTGGTAACATCTCAACTTATGAAGACCGCACTTCTCTCAACTATATGAGTGCATATGCTGTGCTTCATCCATACATCCCAATACTAAGTTATTAGAGGCTGCAGCAGAAGCAATATCTAAATTTTTGAAGGTTTGCCTTCTGCAACTTGTGTGTGTTGTTTGCTTTTTTTGTCTTTAACTTGTTTTCATGCATTCTTATCTGTTGGACAGAGTGATAGTCACAATCTAAAATATATGGGCATAGATGCCCTAGGTCGGTTGATAAAGATAAGTCCAGAAATCGCTGAACAACACCAACTGGCCGTGATTGATTGCTTAGAGGTGAGAAACATTTTCTCGCATGCATTTGACATCAATATATTCGTGTTGATGGAGCCATCAGAGATGCAGGCTGTGCTCATGTTCTTTGTTTTTCCTCTTTGTTTTTGTGCACACTTGAATGGCTATACCTTTCCATGTTAACCTTATTTTATTGCTTTAACAACTGTGTAGTTAATATATACTTTCTGTCTGTTTTGTGATTAGTTTATCTGTCTTACATGAGCTGTATATGCATTCATGGAATTTTTTAGATCAATATTGCTTTGTCAGGCTGATGTAAACTACTCCTATACTTTGACCTCTGCTGAAGTATTTGTGAAATTTGTCTTATGGTAAGCAACAAAGTATTTGGAATGTAAATGTTTATAAAGCATTATCAAAGTCGTCATTGGAGTGATGACACCTAGCACTTCAATGGAAGAGTGAATAATTCCAAAAAGTTTTCCTCGCTTTTAGAAATATATGAAAGGAAGCAAAGATGAGCTAGCTTTTCTCTGTAACTTTCGCTCTTTAGCTAGTCTATTTTATTGTAATGGCAAGTATTACCCAACATTTGGTTGCATAAAACATAGCTAGCATTATCGCTGCTTCAAAAAGTTTTTGTAATGACCTCTTGCTGATTACTGGGGTGTTTTTATTACTTACCAGAAAGGAAAAACTGGAGTGTCTCTCTGAGGAAAAAGCGGGACCTTTGTACTCCATGAATAATAGTTATAATTAATTGAAAGTAGGTGATAACTAGATATGGCCTGATAAGGATGCTGCTCAATGCTTCCTCTTCCTCCTTTTTTGTTTGGTTCATTTTATTTATTTATTTTTATAAGTTCTAATCTTTCGTGTTTCCATTGCGAAATTCTTTCTGTTTCTATGGTTGTAATCTTATTGAAACTAATGCCACGTTACCCTTTCAATTTGATGTTCAAACTAACTTTGACAATTTTTCATCATAATTGTTCTTCAACTATGTTTTGGTCAAACTTTGACATGCTTGATGACACAGGACCCAGATGATACTCTAAAGAGGAAAACCTTTGAACTTCTCTATAAGATGACGAAGTCCTCCAATGTAGAAGTTATTGTTGATCGTATGATTGATTACGTGATAAACATTAATGACAATCATTACAAAACTGAAATAGCGTCCAGATGTGTTGAGCTTGCGGAGCAATTTGCACCAAGCAACCAATGGTTCATTCAGGTTATGTCAATGTTACCTTTTCTTGTTGTGATTGTTTGGAGATAACATTATATTTATGTCTTCTGAACTTCCACCTATTGGCTTTCTCTTGATTTATGTACTACAGACCATGAATAGAGTCTTCGAGCATGCAGGGGATCTAGTGAATATTAAAGTGGCACATAACTTGATGCGGTTGATTGCTGAGGGATTTGGGGAGGATGATGATACTGCAGATAGTCAGCTCAGATCTTCTGCTGTATGTATTCATAATGAATTTCTACTGGCTCACTTCATATATTTGCTGTTGCTTAAAGCCAACTCTAACAGTCTTCTTATATTCTGTGATCTAATGATTCTCACTGGGTTATCCAGAATGAAACTGTTTGCTTTAAAATATGATGTTCATTCATAGCAAAAAAAAGCATTTCTAATTTAGCATTCCTCTCTTGATGTTTAATTATTTTTTGGCTGCAGGTAGAGTCATATTTGCATATCATTGGAGAGCCAAAGCTGCCATCTGCATTTCTACAAGTACATTCTCTTCTATCTATGTTTTATCTTCTTTTTGTTCTTTCCCTCTGCATACAGGTTGACATGGTTTGGGATATACTTCTTGTATTTGTTGTTTTATTTCTTAGTTTTGAGTTACAGGATAATTTGTTGGGTCTTTGGGGAAATACGGAACCACAGATAGGAAGTATTCAGTCTCTTATATCACTGGGAAATTATGTGATCTGGCAGAAGCATATTCCAGTGATGATGACATTGTCATGATAAATATAAAAGCATTTGATATTTATTGTGGTTGGATCTTGGTGCAATTGATTGAGATCCCTTAAGTAATCTAAGAACTGAAAAAGGAAAAACTACCAACTTTGAATCTCTTCAATATGCACATGCATATAATTGATTATAATTTATTGAAAGGAGTGTTTCTTTGAGATTTGATACAATTGATTTTTTTTTTTTTGACAAAGTAATACAATTGATGATTTTATTGCCTTGCACTCATTTCTTTTCTAGTTTGAACTTGTACTGAATTTTTTCTTCCTTCAAGGCATATGCAGTTACAGCACTTATGAAAATATACGCCTTTGAGATAGCAGCTGGGAGAAAAGCCGATGTGCTACCTGAGGTAGGTCTTTTTGGTGTTTTCAGCACACGTCTCATACCTTAGCCATCTAAATCAGTTTTGTACTTAAGTGGCTGAGTATTTGTGGTGGTACTTGCTGTTAAATGGGATCGCTATAAATCATAAGCCAAAGTTTCCTCTTTCTCTTCGACTCTGCCTCAACCCCATCCTTCTGGATCTATACCATATCCTTAAATTATGTTGAACCTAAATCATGTGTCTCTAGGGTATGCATTCTCTCTTTGGAGTTGATAGTTACGATGCGATTTGAGCCTGATTTATTTGATTCATTTATGTTCTCAGGTTTCCCTGCTAGTGGCATTCTTCCATTTACTGCTTCCCTGCTTTTCTATATGCACTGCTTGCTATATTAATTATTATTATTATTTTGGTTTTGTATGTGTATATCATCACCAAAATATATGTGGGCATCATAGACAAGAAAGTATATGCTTTTCTGTGTCATAGACTCGTATTCAGCATCATGAGAATTCAATTCCGCTTTTATGCTTTGACTATACATTGGTAATTTCTTTCCTTGTTGCAGTGTCAATCTTTGATTGAAGAATTATCAGCATCCCACTCAACAGATTTGCAGCAACGTGCATATGAGCTCCAAGCAGTCATCAGCTTAGATGCTCATGCTGTTGAAAGCATTATGCCACTGGATGCAAGTTGTGAAGACATTGAGGTTTTTTTTGATATCTTAAATATAGGCAGTGTTTGACAAGTTGGTTTTTGGGTTTTTTTTTGATTTTTTTCACTGCAAGACAAATGTTTTGCAAAACCAAAAAAAACTAATCCAAACAAAATATCACATCAAACCCCATAATCATTTCACTTTTTCTCTCGCAAACATCATATCCAATCACAAAAAAACCCAACTATCTTCTCAAACACAATTTTTTTTTTGGCATCTTATGTTATCCGTGTTGCTTTATCATCAAGGATCACCTCAACTCTTTGAAGTTTTGGTTTGTTAGATGCATTTCTACTAAATTGGTTTATAAAATAAAATTATTTATATATGAGTTTAGATGTAATTGATAATATATTAATGTTTTCTTTGTTTATTTTCTTGCAGATTGGTTTTTAATGACGTTCGGAAGTTTACTTGCAAATGAAGATCAACTGTTGAATTTTGTTTCCTGAACGAATACTTAGTTGTAGTTGCAAATCAAGATTGAGTGTTGATTTTTTTTTGTGGATTCCACGTTAGTTCATTTTGGGATTTGCTTGGATGGTTTTTTTGTTACACTTAATGGTTTATATTATTAAAGTTGTTTGATGGATATATTTTGATTTATAATATAAATTGTTTACTGAATTTTTTTGTGGAGTGATGTATAATAGCTAATGGATTTCTTAGTACAATTAAAAGGCTATTGGGATATGAGCAGGGATATTTGTAAAATAATAATTGAAATTAAAATATAAATATGGAACAGGTTTAGTGACGAATTTGTTTCGTCATTTGTATTTGTTATTATGACAAAGTGATTATTCGTCATTTAATAACATTTTTTGTGACAAAATTTATTGCAGCGCATATATGAAAGTTTTCATTGATTTTGTTGTTGGGTGACGAAATGTATTTCCTCATGTATATAAATATATTTGAGAGGAAATATATTTCGTCACCCATGTATGACTTTTGGAGACGAAAAATTTGTCACCTTTACACTACTCTACCGTGACGAAAATTATTCCTCATATAAATGATCAACATTTGTGACAAATTTATTCGTCAACTAAAATTATAATATGGTACTGAATAATTATTTGGTGACGAAAATGAGAATTTTTGGCGACAAAATCTTGTTTTATTGGTGACAAAAAATTTCGTCACTGAACTAATTTCAATGGTGACGAAATTATTTTTCGTCACGATGGTTTTTAGTGACAAACATTCAATGACGAAACTTGTGACGAAAATATTTCGTCACAAATTATCTATAGTGACGAAATTAGCTTTCTTTCGAGACAAAAAATTTCGTCATTCAAAACCCAAGCTTTACTTGTTGTAGTGCATGTTGTAGACATGTCAACATGGTCCAGAACTTGATTCCACCAAACCAAACCGCGTTACTGGCCTTCCGATTT